TTAAAATATAAATGATAATTAACACAATGCACTCAAATTTGTCAAGGTAGAATAAGAAATAGAAATATAGTGAAATGTTTTAAAAAGACAGTCTGAGGGAGGTTCGATTAACATGATGTGGCTTTCATATACGAATGATGGGTGGCATTACAACGAATTTTAATCTATTACGAAGCTTCGAATCTTGTTGTCAACTTGGTTTTCCTTTAACCTGATTTATCATTCATATATTTTGTAGAGTATTATCCATATCAAATAATTGATAATACAACGCTTTTACAAGAGTTACAGTGGATTTATTAGTTTAAATGAATACCATCTAATTTATGACAATGGGGAAATGAATTCACAAACTCATTTACTGGTACTATTTTTAAAAAATAACAATTATGCTAGACATGGTAATTTGGGTCGTATGTTCCTTTAAATTCTTCACTATTTTCTTTTTTTTTAATGAAAAGTTAAAGTACTCGACAGTCTAAAACTTCATATTTCCAATTTGAATAGGCATATTTACCCAAAGAAACAGATTAATTTAAATAGTAATTATTGTTAATACATCAGTGCTATGATAAATCAACGATTAATTTTATAATGTATTTAATACTCAACCAATTCGATAAAGATCATTCAGTTTAATGGAACATTAGTCCGACGTAAGTTAAAAAATTACTCTTATCTCACATTAGGAAAATTCAAATAATAAACTTTGTTGTTTACATTACATTAAGTGAATATAAAAAAAACCAGTAAATTTGAGTGTACAACTAAGATCAAGTCATTTATAAGAAGAATTCCTTGTTTAGAATTTAAAATTGAATGTCTCATAATTTGGACAAACGTTTGATCAATAAATGGAACATTAAAAAGCACATATAGAAGAAGTAATTATTTCTTGTCAGTTCGTTTTTCATTGTGACTCTACATTTAAATGTTCATGATTTACTGTTATTGAGATAAGAGAAGTGAAGAAACGCATTAAAGTGGTGATAATTCTAAAGAAATAAATCCTTAACATCAGGTTTCCATCAAATCCAGGTTAGTTTGTTCGGAGCATTCTGTGTTATTCTTAAAATGGCTAAGTCATTAGAATTATCACTTGGCACCAAACTTTGTGATATTAGGATAAAGATTATTAAACTGGGTGTCGATATTCCTTTTGAAAGTCTGTATACAGAAATGGTAGACTTCTTACCTTCATCAAATGTTGGTGTCGAAAGATTTATATCTACTTTAGTTGAATACTGCTTTAAATACTTAAATAAACATAATCATTATTGTAAGAAATACACATAAGCTTTATGGAAACTTAGAATTAGTGGCAGTTTGTAACTCCCAAATACAGATAAAAGTTACGGGCTAGATTTCAGAGACAGAAATGATTATTCAGACTAAATGAAGACCCTCCTATATGTTGGAAACAAATTTCAGAGACTAATGGTAAAACATGGTGTGCTAGACATAAAAATTAACTAACTTACTCCTTGAAAAACGACGAAACAACGAAGTTTAATGTTAGGAAACGTTTGAAATACTATGACTTACAGCGACAACGACAAGACTCTATTACGTAACTAAAATACAAAAACGGGCTTAACTGTCGAACTCATGTTCGATATGAATAATTCTGCATATTACACCCCAGAACAATGGTAAGTACAAATCTTGAAACGATTGAATAAGGGAATTGTTAAGCATAATATAAATTACTTTTTTGAATTTGTTGATAAAATATTTGGAAGTTAAAAATAACTTTATGAGATTATTAGATGAACCGTCTCTGTTTACTGATATTCTACTATGGGAAACAGTGAATTTTATTTTCACTGAACTGGAAGAGAAGAGTGTATAAACCTTAACTCTTGTTTCTATAATAAAAACGTCCATATTCAGGTGTACGATTAATCTCCGCTTTCGATTCGACTGTGAATATAAAAAATAATCGGATGGTGTACCAAAGAGATTACCACTGGGTCCTCCTTTATCAGAATTTTGTCTTCAAAAACTGATGAATGAACCACTCGAAGAATTAGTTCATCGGCTAACATTATATTACAGCTATATAGATGGTACTTTCATAGTATTGGCGATTAAACGTGGAAATAATAGTTTACTTAATATAGTGAATAACATTTATCCATAAGTCACATTTACTTTTGACAAAGAACGCAATAATAACATTTTATTTGTAAGTGTCGCATTACCAATAAGATTAGATTGAACATTAAAAAGGGATATTACATAGAAACTTAACTACTGTGCATATACATGTTTCTATAGTTTTGTACCACTCACTATTAAAAAAGAGAGTAAAAATACTGACTCATTATGCTGAAGTGACTTGGTTTGAGGATACTATCGAAGATAAAATAAATAATATCAGTAACCTTCTTAGTAAGAATAGATATTTTGCTAAAACCAACAACAACATAATCAAAATGAAACAAATGCTGATTATACCAAGGGTTCAGAAGAATTCGCTATTCTTTAAGTTACCATTTATAGATGACTGTATGTAAACTACTAAGAACAGCCGTACAGTAAACATCACTATTGTTAAATTGAATGTATCTTTACAATTATCCGGTAATGATAACTGTAGTGAACAAGAACACGGGTGGGGACAATCGACTGTATTTGGCACAAACATTACAGACTATCTCAATATAATGTGAATACCATAAAGTCAATCGTCAATTTGCAAAATATCATTCCATCATATCAAACTGTACTGTTCCCGTTGCAAACACTAATCCATTGTCTCCCATTCCATTGTACATGTGTTTTCTTACAATTCCATTGTGCTCTTGCTCTTCCTTTCTTGATCTTCGCCATCTTCTGCTGCCGGACCTTACGTTTATTTAACGCACGTTATATACTACTTATATGAATATAAGTAGCTCACACCACATAACTACTAAGAAAAAAAGACAGTTTGAGTTAGTCTTATTCTAATATGTTAACTATTTTAACTTCTTCTGAGTAACCAATTATACAAGGCGTAGAATTCGACAAATTCGTGTTCTTATCACCTGGCACAAACTAATCTTGTTAAAAAAGACAGAGATGATTAAGAGTTTTATTTTCACTCGATCGCTTAGCACAAGACAATAAACAGACCTGAACAAACGCTTCCGAGTTTCCAGTCATTTTCTATCGATTTTAATTCATCGTTTATTGATTTATCTCTCGATAACTGATGAAGTCACTGAACCCTAAATACAGAAACCTAAACATTTTACTCGAGGAAAGCTTATACAGTCTCTCTTTACCCTGTTCATCGATACAAATCATACAAGCATGGGTTATAAAAGACTTTCGACTCATCCCAGTTTCTTAAGCTCTTCTTTAAACTTCTTTTGTGTCCTTTAGTTACCCTAATATTCATCTCCTTATTATTAGGTAACTAATATTAATTTGATTTTTTAATGAAATGTTTTGCTAATCTTCTCAATAATTATTACGTAAGCTGACAACCTGTTGAAATACACGTTTTCAATTTCTACAAATAATTACTTTGATTAATGCTACTCTCCTTCCACCTACTCACTTAATCATTCGAGATTATTTGAATAATCTCTAGTGAAATTACAATATTGTTATGTTAAACCAACACTCAATTTGTATTACTTTGTTGTTGATGAAAACACTAACTGTTAAAAAAAAATTTTACCTCTAATTTTCTCCTTACCACATGTCTTAATGGAAATTTTTATTTTATCGACAGGATTTTAAAATATCCCGCTTGTCTTTCTGTTCTTCTTTCTTCCGAATCCTTCTTTATACGATCCAAATATGGAATAATCATATTTTAATACAGAATATAAGGTGTAATATTCCTATTTGTGGATAAACAACTCAAAGTGAATTACTCAACAGGCGAATCATTAGTATAAAAACTGAAGCGAGATGGATAAACATATAGCCGTTTCAAAAACTTCCGAATCTTAGATATATGTATGTTTGTAAGTCAATTTATACATTTTTGAACTGAAATAAAAGGTATTGAAGAAAGAATATCTGGCTTCTCAAATTTGAATACGGAAACATTTCAGTTTTTCTTCTTCGTAAATTGAACGTTTAATCCTCATTTATCAAAAATATCTACTTCGTTAAAATGGAGTGTGTTATCATTACTCTTAGAGTTTATTAACTATAAGAATTAACCATCTGAATAATACTGCAATGAGATAATTTAAACAGGAATATTACTTCAAATCTAATTTCCTTCACATCACTAACTGGTATTAGAGGAAAAACCACTGGAAATCAGAGATCACAGTAAACATGTTTCGTTAAAATCAAGTGACAATGTAAGTATTTATATTCTGACTCGCTGAGCTTATACTATCATACTCATCACGGCACCAGTTACTTATATTTTTGATCATGTGTATAATTTTCGGCGCCTACTCCAGAGGTCAAAATCGTCATTCACCGTTTCAAGGTTTAACCATGTGCATATTAGCGAAATTTTGTACGTAAAAATGTATTATATTGGATTTATCACCAATTTGTTATTAAAAACATCTATTTATTATTGAGGGTATTTTTTTCTTCATTTAGTAACGTTCAAAAGTTATTCTTTTTTATTTAATCCATAAAAACTACAGAATATGGAACCTTGTTAATCTACTAATATTTTCTTCAGTTCTTACTTCGTTCTTTTGATTATTTGCAGGATCAGATTGACGAACTCTTCATCTCTGATAAGTTTTACACTCTTGAAACAAAACAATGATTTCTCTTTAAAAGCTGAGGTTTCTGTGTATAAAATAAGACGACTTATAAATTTAGTGAATCTATGAAATACTTATTGCAATTTTTGCATTTTATTTTGTTTTACATTAAATAGATTCATCGTTAGATAAATAATGACCTACTTTAATTACATCTGTTCACATAAACAGTCCACAATCTAATCAATATATACGTAATCGTATATGTAATTACTGAATTGTGATTAATTTTTCCTGCTTATTTACTTACCTTTTGACCAGGTATGTCCATGAAAATCAGTGTATTTCTGATTTACAGCAGTTAATGGTAAGTCAAAGTTCCTGGTTTTACTTAAATATTTACAAGAATATTTTATAAAATATACATGAGTCAGGAATTTAAGTTATGAAATAATATTGAAGAATTCAAATAGGTAGTCAGAAGAGTTTACGGCTTCATGATGTTGAATACTATCAGACAAGAAACAAAAATATACATTAATCAAATTATTTGAGGTAAAAATCATGCAGATAAAATTTTATTTTATGCTCAAGACAATCATTATGAGAATAATAATGGCTTATGTTGATCATATTAGCTTGTATTTGTATATTCTTTTACCGGATATGATGGATTTCAAAAATTATTGTATATGGATAGTTATATATATATAATAAGAGGTAAATAATTAAATTATTTTATGTACAAGTTAAACTATACTAATCTACTAAACTGGTAATATTGTTTGACTCTCGAGGCAACGAAAAAGCTCCATACAACTGTTTCATCAAACCCTTTGGTAAAACGTTGAGACCCGAGGGATCAGCCCTGAACAGAGCCAGATAGTTACTTGATAAGAACGCTGAATTATTGTGTTGAATAGCATTGTGTTCTCCATGATATTTTGAGATTCCCAGATTGAGCGATATATGTACAATTCTAAGGAGTCCTACCTCTACCTGCTATATAGTAAATGTTCAATGTAAGCTTAGTTGGGATGTACACTGTCTATATAACTCAAACGCCCTTCCCCAAACCACTTAACTGTGATAGTTACATTGATTGATTTTAGGAGTAAAGCAATTACCTAATATATATATAAGACGGGTTTATCACTAATCTTAACCATTACAAAAAGTGCAAAATAATGAATTGTAGATTTTTTCAAAGTTGGATAAAATTTTATGTTTCACTGATTGAAATCATGAGTCAATTGAAGCTAGACCAGCATGGATGCCGGCTCAGTGGTTTTGTTGGTTAAACGCCTGGCGCGAGACCGGTAGGTCCTGGATTCGAATCTGGCGGGGTGCGGAATCGTGGATGCGCACTGCTGAGGAGTCCCATACTAGGACGAAACGGCTGTCCAGTGCTTCCAGGTTTTTCATTGTGATCTAGCTTCAATTGACTCATGATTTCAATCAGTGAACTTTCTAAAATCTCCACAAAACCCCTTCTGAAAATTTTATGTATCTAAAAATCAATTAATTATTTTTATTTTTGTTTCCATAAAGGATGAATGTGGAGATGAATACTTTTCAAAATTTTATGCAAGAGAACGTTACAAGAGACGTGATCGATTTCGGGGTTGAATAGAACACATTTGATATTGAAATGCATATTTATGATAATCAATTCGGATAACACAATCTTTCACAAATTTTATTAGATATTACGTAATACAGTTTGTGAATATAAATAGTTACATTAATTGAAAAAATACACATGAAAAGTTTGATTTCAACTATTTCTTTTGAAGATTTAAGAAAAAAGTTAATTAGTGAGTGCATTGACGAAATTCTAATAGATTATTTAGTTACCAAGTAAAGGTAAAACACTTAATAATTAAATAGTATCTTTTATTTGTACATATTTTGTGGCCTAAGATCTGACTACAGGTAGATCGTTTACTGCTTGTTATACATGTTATACATGTCGCCAATTCCCGTATATAATCATCGAATTAAATCGTGTCAGTGAATAAAGGAATTAAATAAGTCAAATACGAGAATGAAGTTTGAATGCGTATATTTCATACAATCGTTGATCGGAAAGCGAAGCAAAACGAAATGACTCACAATAGAGGTGAGTGACCCAACTCGATTTAATCAAGCGTTAATCGATATTTTAGTCACACTAAAATAAGTTACAGGCATGTTATAAGAAGGCTAAGAAATGCACACATATACGCTTACATAAACGCAGTCAAGGTTGATAAGCGAATGACTGACAAGATCAAAATGCAGCTTGAGAAGAATGAATAGGTTGATCTGTCCAGAGGCTAGTACCAGTCTCTAAACATCTACTGTTAGAGTCATGAAATGTTGTATTATTTCATAATGGGAAACACTGCAGTTTTTACGACGTAAACCAAAACATGAGAACTGATGGCGGAAGATTTATGTTACCCTACAAAACATTTAATATTTTGGACAATTCATTCACTTTTCACACTGATTTCATATACCTGATAGCTAATTAATCAATATTACATATAGGGAAAATATACAGAATTATTGAAAAAACATATGCTAGTTGTTATGCTTAACAATTTTCACATTAAATTAATACAAATAACACTACAATGCATAAACGATACTCTGACATAAAATGCTATACTATACAAACTGTCACACTGAGAATAAACTGACAGTATCTTAGGCATTTATCCGATGAAATTACAGTGAGAGTATCATTGAACAAAAATCGCACTGAGTTGAACCAGTCAATTAAATCCTTGATTGATTAATTAACAACTAATACTATACTTAATGTTAATTCGAAAAATGATTAGTTTGTAAAGATGGACGGTGGCTAGCAGTGGAATCCAGGATACACGTTTCATTCTATTTGAGACTCAACAGTTGGATTTACCTTTATAGGATGCACATAAATCAATTCGAGACTGATCAATTGCATTCCTAAGCATCAATCGGAAGATTCAAACAAACAATACAAATAATTCTAAACTGCCCAAACATGTTGTCCATTGATTTACAGACTAATGCTTCAATATTTTCCACCAGTTCTGACGTTTTCAATTTAGTCGTAGATTGACTACCACAAAGTCAGAAAGCATTTCCACCCACTATTCACTCATTAACTCCATTTTCTTTGACAAATATGAGTGACTAGTGTTAAATATTGCACCTGTAAATTCCTGTTATTTACACCAAACTTCAGTCACTTAAGGCTACCTCGAAGATGAATATTCCCTAAAACCGAAGCCAGCAATCTTATTTTTCCAAGTACACTCTTGACATTTCTATTTTCGATCTGAGCTCAAAAGTGCTTTTTTGTTACAATTACTGTGAGCTCGGGGGGTTACAGATGTACTTAAATCTTCTCAGATTTCAAGCATTAACAGGTGACTAGTTTGGAATGTGAGTCTTTTATGATGAGGACCTGAAGATATGTGATGTAATTTCTTTACAAGTGAGTTTAAATTGACACCTTTAGTATTCAGTATAGATAAAACTAAAAGGTGTGAAACAAATGAAGTTCTTCTACACTATGTGGAATAGTAGGTTTCTGCTATTTGTTCATTGTTCCGTATAGGCGAAATAAATCTAGTGAGCAAGGATTATTAGCAGTAGTAGAAAGAAATCGATCAAACGAAAAGACGAAGGAATATAATGGTTCAGATATAATGGCAATCTATTTTCAGTTCAGCCTTTCCCGGACTGTACTTATTCAAGAGACTTGGTTATTTAAGCATACTTATTAAACGTATTCGTGTAAGATACTGTAAAAACATTCATCGGTTCAGATAGAACAAAACCAGGATATTAATTCGGTAAATTCGACTCTGTGATGGTTAAATTGTCTTAGCAAACAAACTGAGTGTTGCACTACATTTATACACATTTTAATAAATTTAATTTGAGATAAACAAACATTCAACTGAATTATACTTGTTTACTTGATACGGTAGTCAGTCACTATGGTAACAGTTTCCTTCAGGCTTGAAGCAAAAATCCACACAGACTGGATTTTTGTCGAAAGTTTAGCATCAAAGTTCAGCAATAATTTATTTCCCATAATATGTTGCCTACTTAAGCTTTACTCGAATATTTAACAAGACAATCAATATGAGCAATCATAACAGTGTTGATCGATGTGTTCTCACATTATAAAGTGCGAAGCAGAAAATGTTCTACATTTTGTTTGTAAGCTTCTCGAAAAAAATATTCAGTTCAACTGAGGTTTTCATTTAAACTCCTTGGTAACTATGAGTTATTCACTTAAACACAACCGAATCATTCATCGCCCTTAACTTAAGAAGGCAGAATCTGAGTGGCGATCACTTTCTACTAATTTCATGATTATATATATGAACAACCATTTCAAGTGAATTCTGATATTGATTTGATAATAAAAACTATTGAAAAAGTTAGAAGACGAGAAAAATTGAAACCAACTGAAGCTTAAAAACACCAGTGTTAAACGTTGTGCTTTAAAGGACTAACAGCTAGATCAGTTGTATTTCTACCCTGTTTGGTTTTTTGACTTAGTTTCAACTCGTACAAGAGACTTCATTTGTCATTATTGAAGTATTATTAATTCCCAATATAAATCTGCAAAGAATTAATGGATTTTTCCCATAATATCCATGTTCATTTTCATTTAATTATTAGCCTTCTTCGACCTTGCCTTTGAATCATATAACAGTCGTCTTAGAGATGTGAACTTTCAATATTTTAACTAATTATTTATTATAGATTTTTAGCATTGATAAAATTAATCACATCCAAGCACGCAATTTATTTCTTAACAAAATAGTCATGAATTAACAACTTTTTTCGGATACTGACACTACTCATCTAATAGATATGAAATTAATTACGCGTATCTAAATGTAGTCAAACATCTATATCAAATGTCGAGCGAAATCTGCAATTTTAAGATTATGCATTCAAGTGGTGAATTCAGTGTTTGAAAATATTCTATTCATAGGACAGTTAGCATTTTTCTGCTCACGTTTTTCATTGTTAATGTTAGTTTCGTTCCCACGATATATTTAAAAATGTTAATTGTTGAACATAGGTTTTTAGTTTCTGATACATTATTTATATGGTTAATTTGAACAACAGTTCTGTAATCAGTGTTTCTTTGATGTATTTATCCGAATAATCATGAACATGAATATATGGATCCAATAGTCTAATCAAACTTTGTTGCCTAATACCTTTTTTATAACTGTGCACTGAGTTTATCATCGGAGTCAAGGTATATTTTAATGTGTAATACGGCCTCTTTAATTAGTCAGGCCAAATCTTATACAAAAATAGTTTTTTTATTTTTCCACACATTGGATTCATATACATCTACAGAAATAAATACATATGGCACAATGAATTCCCTCATTGAACTTTAATCAAATGAATAAAAACAGCTTCAACATCTTCAGTCATTAGCTTTGATAAATTGATTTCAACCGTTCTCTGTCAATGATGCTCTCTTTATTTATTTCAGTGGTGTAGATTTTGAGTAGCGCATTAATTTGAGAAACTATATACCAGCTTATTATTTTCTTTTATTGTCATATGGTTAAAGGAAATTGGCAGGAAACTCTGAAACCAAATTTCCCATCGATCGGTAGTGTTCCGCAAAGAGGTTCATGAGCTAAACGTTGATCAACAACATTTTTACAGAAATATTTACTACTTCATATACACAAATACACACGAAACAAAATTTACTATCAATTAGTTCTGAACGCAAAATGTCACGGGATAATAAATTGATTCATTGCAAATCGAAGTATTTGAGACATCCTAAAACGGAACAATTGTGCACACCAAACACTAAAGTGAAATAGGTTAACTGATGAAAATTCTAACCATAAACCAGATAGGTGTTGAGTTTTATTACGATAACAATTGGACTATTTATGTCACATTTTTGAACAAATATATCCAAATCATGGAAAATCGTGTACAAGTTTCTAAAGATATTCCGCCGATAAAATTATAAGACAGTTTGGTACTTCACCGATCCGGTTTTATGAAATGTATTTGCACATTTCTTTTCATTAAATAGTTTTTGTGAAAGTCATTTGTAAACAAATCAAGCATTCGGATAGATTTTAATTAAAAGCTAACTTTCAGAAAATATGGCGTATTAGCGATGTGCAAACGTAACGTACTGTTAGATGTATATTCACTGACACAAGCAATCAAAATACATAAAAACACAGGAACATTTTAAAATGTGTCTATACGTGTTACAACATTTTACATATGAATAAAACATCATTTCCCACCGATATTTATTAGCTCAGATAAATACTCTAATGATAAACTAAGTGACTATTTTCTGTTTATATAAAATCTTATTACTTCTTTTGCTGTATTCTGAAGACACTAACGGTTGTAAAGCTGCATTGACATCTGGAAGCAATCATGTAGCCAAACCAACTTTCTAGTATGACATGTTTGAGTATCTCATTTTCAATACTGATCAGAACATCACTTGTTTACGGAGTATTACAAAAATAACTAATAATTACCGTATGACGTGGTACTAAGTAAATTAGAGGAAAACAAATTACATTTGACGCTTAACATTACCAGTGCCCTCTTTATACTCTTCAAACTTTTCTGATATTATCATAAGTGGTGACACTGGAATGTTTTTGTGCTTACTTAGTGACTAGCTTAATAGGGTGTTTTAAAATTATGTGGATAACCTAGGTAGTCTAGAAAAAGAAATAGTTTAAGTAGGTCGAATCATTAACTCGAA